GGGAAGGATCCGTGTGGCTGAGTCCCCGGAGCCGGCTACGTTGCGTCCCACGAAACATGGACCCGGCTGCCTCCGCTCCCGCGCCTGCCAGGACCGGCGCGTTCCCGGTTCCCGGCGGGATTTGCAGCATCCCTGATCCGGCCGTGCCTGTGCGGTGGCATCGGGCGYGTCCGGAGCGTCCGGAGCGAAAGGCGCCCGGGCGGCTGCTCCCGCTTCCCGTGCCCTCCAGCYGGGATGGCACGGAGGGAATCCCGCCTTCCGGCCCCTGCAGCAACGCGGACAGCGCCAAGACCCATTGGAGCTCCCTAGAAATGAGGGAGCCCGGGAAGGTGCTGCTGTTCAAGCRGTGTTAATACCAAAAGCACTCCGAACATGGAGCCCAGCCTGTGTTTTCCAGCCTCCCTCCAGGAATCCTATCAAGAACCAGTGATAAATCCAGGAGCTGCAAAACCCAGCTCCAACCTTCAGTCTCCCGGTGCGGCCRCGCGAATGCAGGATTGAGCATACGGCCCGCACGCTGGGAACGATTTTGCCTATGGAACAAGAGTTTTTAGAAAAGAAAAACCCTGTGAAAGCTCTGAGAAAATTAAAGCAACAAATACGAGCTGGTGAACGAGTTTCTCTTGGCTCTCGATGCTTCTGGAATTATCTTAATCTCTGGGTGATCCTGCGGGTTTGCTCAGAGACTCAAAGGTCTCAGGAATAACACGTTATGGAAGCGGAGGAGTTGCCAGAGCCCAGTCCCAAACACAACCACCTCCATGCGTTCGCACGCCGCACGGGAAGGCACCAGTGCCAAAACCGCAAGGTGGGCGGATCGTGCGCCCCATAGCTCAGCACACGGCTAGTCCCAGATCATGAGCTGGTCCAAATTAAAGCAGGGGGAAGGTGGGTCTACCTGGCAATAAATAACTGCAGTTTGCTTCTTGTCCTCGCTGTTTATCAAGCTCTGTGGGATGAGGAGCACAAGGATCTGCTCCATGGCCTTCCAGCCCCAACGTTTATGAGCTYCTGGACTGTCCTCTGCCATGGGGTGTTTGCAAGAGGGTGCTCATCAGGACTTGACCATTATATGGAGCTGGTTATCAGAAACCTGATGTCCCCTCGGGGAGGAGTCTCAAAATCTGGATTTCAGGCACATGGATCCAATCCTTGTTCTCCCTGTCTGTGTGGAGCTTGACCCGGCTTGGGCGATCTTGGTACCTGCTCTTGTTATAACCATTGCTAACGGGYACTGTGAAATAAACGGCAAATGAGCCTTTAAAGACTGATTTGGAAATGTTTGAGATATATTTGCCAAATGCCCCCCAACACAGCACAAACACATGGGGTTTTCAGCCCACTCCTGTCCTAGTGTTGTGAGGAAAACACGAGGCYGGGGCTCCGGGGCCGGGAAGGACCGTTGCTCCGGCTCCGGTTGCTCGCTCTCCGCCTCGCTTCACGCCTGCGTTTCCATGCCGAGCTTTGGCCGGCGGCGGCGCCGGGCGGGAGGCAGCGGCGAGCAGGGAGTCAGCGGCTGGACAGGCTGCTGCTGCCCCCGCAGCCCCGTTCCCATCCCTGGCTCCCCATTCCCGGCTCCTCATCCCCATCCCGATCCCTGGCTCCTGATCCCTGGCTCCCAATCCCTGGCTCCTCATCCCCATCCTGATTCCTGGCTCCCAATCCCCGGTTCCTCATCCTGATCCCTGGCTCCTCATCCTGATCCCTGGCTACCAATCCCTGGGTCCTCATCCTGATCCCTATCTCTCGATCTCTGTCCCTGACTCCCAATCCCTGGCTCCTCATCTCAATCCCTGGCTTCTCATCCCCATCCCGATCCCTGGATCCCGATTCCTCGCTCCTCACCCTGATCCCTGGCTCCTCATCCCCATCCCTGGCTCCTGATCTTGATCCCTGGCTCCCAATCCCTGGCTCCTCATCCTGATCCCTGGTTCTTCATCCTCATCCCGATCCCTGGCTCCCGATCCCTGGCTCCCAATCCCAATCCCTGGCTCCCGATCCCGGGCTCCTCACCCCAATCCCTGGCTCCTCATCCCCATCCCAATCTCTGGCTCCTGATCCCTGGCTCCTCATCCCGATCCCTGGCTCCCGATCCCTGGCTCCCCATCTTGATCCTGATCCCTGGCTCAGCTTGCCAATGGCGCTGTGCTCCCATAGGATCGTGATAACCAGGGACACCCCTTGTCCAAGGCACATGAGTGCTGGGGCACGAAGCGTCGCACACGGCGAGTGGGAGGCTCCGGGCGCTGCTCCCAGCAAGGCCGGAGGATGTGGACGGCTCTYGGAGCCCTGGGGAGCTCGGAGGAGAAGGGAGGGAGCCCAGGCGGAGCCGTGGCCAAGGGCTGGCCATGACGGATGGAGCAGCTGAAATTCCCATTCCCGGCACACCTCACTCCTTGGCAGTGCCAGGGAACAAAGGAGGAGCAGGGAGGGGGGCACAGGCCACTGCTGGGAAATGCCCCAAGGTGCTGGGAGCARAAAATTCCCCCCAAAAGCATCCAGAATCGAGGCCCCTTCCCGCCTGGAGCTCGGGGGATGTTCTCAGCAGCACCGGGCGCTGAGGACAAGCGGCTCTTTGGGCGAGGAGGACAAGGGGGGACGAACGCGTGGGTGTGCGGGGGGACCCGGGCCCGCCGTAACCCCCATTCCCCGGGCTGGGAACGGCCGTGCCGCGCCGGCCGCCTCTCCGGTTTCAGCCGCCAGCACCGGGGCCGTCTGGCGGGAGGCGGCGGGGACACCCAATCCCGGGGAAACCGGATCGCGAGCGCTGGGCGCTGCCCCCGCGCTCCGCGGCCGAGAAGCTCCCTGCTGCTGCGCGGGAAACTGGAGAAGTCCCTGCTCACAGCTCACACAAATCACCCTCCTTTCGCGCTCCCAGCTGCTGTTTTCCGACCTCCTTCCCTGCGGCTGGAGTTTATCCCCACGGATAACCAGGTAGGGAGACAGGAGGAGCCTTGGTTATATCCATGACGCCACAGAATAGTTGCCTTATGCACAAATAAAACTGCCCCAAACCACCCAGCTTCCACCCTCCCCATGGGTAAGAGAACATGGCATTAAGAGAACACGCTCTGATTCCCGCTATTGGGAGTTATTTCTCACATCCTTCCACTAGGAACAGCAGAGGGCTTAGAAATGCGGGAAGGCAGCCGCGTAGGTGAATGCAAAGCACTCGGCAAAGAACCCGACTTGGTCTTTCTGGGCACAAAAGAAATAGAGGAATTTAGCGGCTGGTATCTTGGCCTTTGCACGATGTGAAGCATTAGGAAAATGGGAATCTCCCTTTCTCGGGGGCGCAAAGCTCTCTTTTCTTCAGCACTGTGAGATAATGTAGCCTCTCTCTCCCCTACAAAGGGCTTATTGGCTCAGGACTATCTCCCTGCAGCCCGAGCCCTGGGCAGGGTAATTTGGGATAGGGATAAGGCTGGGAAGGAGCATTGGCCTGGCCATCTCAATGAGCTGCTGCCGCGGAGAGCGAGGCTGGTTAAGCAGAGGATGAAGCTCCGGGAATGCAAATTGCCTGACGGACTGGGATGCTCCGGCAGCGGATCCCGCCACGGCTGGCTCCGCGGCGCCGAATCGCGCGGCGATAATGGGAATTAATCACGTGCCCYGGAATATCCAACCTCTCGGCCTTCGAATTCCTCCGCACGCGCTCGCCTCCCGCACATCTCCCTATTCCCTGGCAAACCACGCGCGCAGAGGGGATATTGAGCCCCACGCCAGGAATGTGTTGGCGTTTTCTATCCCCAGATCACTCTAAGCCACGAGGGGGGTTTATCCCCTTGCAGAGAAGCTGCAGAATTTCCCTCAATCCATTGACACTCCATGCTTGCTTTGCTCCATGCTTTGCTTTCACACTTGAGAGACCACAAGCTACTGGACCTTAAACATCTATATAAACCTGGCCAATGTCCCTATTTACTCGGCTCCTCTCTACACAGTCGTAGCCTTTTCATTGCAGCTGCCTGGCTAATTTCTCCCCGCAATTTCACATTTATTTTGCCCTTCCCGTCTTAAATGGGGCTGATGGCCCCTCTGAAACAACTGCCCCAATGATGTCCTTCGTCCGCTCCGCTCCTCCACAAGTGACAGAGCAAAAGCAAAATACAAAATACATTTGGTACCCGCTCCAGACCGACAGACACCCCGTAAAAAACCTTGTTGATTTGTACAATATGTGTCYTGTTGCACTTAAAAGCGTACGCGTATTTCAAAGACAGGTTATGTCAAATAAACCAAGGGGAAGGTTAAGGGCTCTACCTAAAGAGGTGGTGGAAAATCAGTGTTTCTATTGCAGGATGGTGATAGGGATGGAGCTGCTGCGGGCTGGCCAGCGCYGGCAGCCCCGTGGGGCCGGGACGTGGATCCATGGGATCTGCACACGTAGGGGCTTGTCACCTCCCAGACAGGCTTCACCAAGCTGGACCCAGCTAAGCTCTAGACTAGCGACTCACAAATCACAGACTCCTGAAAACCCTGTGAAAAAAAGACTAACAAAACCAAACYTGATATCATCAACTAGTAACTGACAATCAAAGGGCATGCCACCAATGGATTTTTTTTAAAAAAAAAGGACTAAAAAGATGCATGCCAGTGCTCTAGGTCCCAGTGCTCGCAGTCCCAGCGTGCTGTCCGGAATATAGGAGCTAACAGCATACGTGGGCTCCGGCAGGGAGTCAGGACAGAGACATTGCTGGTAAACACATCAACTAACTGCTTTCCCTAGGCAGAGCTGGTGGAACAACCCCCTGCTAACCACAACACAGTGCAACGGGCTGAAGCTGGCCCTGCTCCTGGAGGCTCCGGAGCAGCCGAGTGCTCCCGGCTCCGGAGCAGGACGGCCGCGGGCCACGTACCTGCGGAGAGAGGCCGTTGCTGACGGGATTCATGTGGTTGGCCGGAGCGGCGGCGTTCATGAACGTGTCCGAGTAGCTGGAGAAGCCGTGTCGGGCGCCGTAGGCAGAGCCGCTGTCGGCGGCGGCGGCGGCCGCGGCCAGGCCCCCCTGGTGCATGGTGGAGGGTGGCAGAGGCTGCGGCCGGTGCACGGTGCTCCCCCCGTCTGCAAAGAGAGGGGGAGACGCTCGGGGGGCTGAGCGGAGCGCGCACYGCCCGCGCCTCCCCCGGCCCCCCGCGTCCCTGCAAGCCGTGCGACCACCAACACGCCGGTTGGGGGTTTATGTGCTCTGCAAAATATGCAAGCAGCCAAACAGGAAATATCCTGGATTTTCTCTCAGTTTCCTCCGGACAGAAGCTGTAAATTCTCTTGTAGCGGCTGAGGCCAAAGACACCGGGAACGAGCAGCAGCCCCTCCACTAGGCTCCAAGCCGGGTCCCAGAGCTCCAAMACACTTTGCTCCCAGGAAAACTATTCCTAAAGGAAACGCAGGGACTGGTGCAAACTGCTTCCCAGTGGAGCCCCAGTATGGAATTCAGTGCCTCACACAGGATAGCCTGGGTCACTCTTGCTTTGGATTGCACACGGATGTGCTCTCCATTCCAAAGGCGAGTGGAGGCAGTTTGCTCTCTGCCTGGGGTCCTTTGTGCTGCATCGAGCTYTGAGATGCATGGATGCAGCAGAAAGGACCCCAGGGCAGAGAGCAAACTGCATTCCCACCTTTCTAGAGGAGGTACCATGAAGTTTCCTCGCACTCAAGACTAAAGCTGGCCTCCCAACTAACGCAGCAATTGCTAAAGGGAGGATGCGGGGCAGGCGGAGAGGGGCCGTGCGTGGGAATGGGAGCTCACCTTGGGAAATGGTGGTTGTGGGGTAGGTGGAATCCGGCAGCTGGTACGGGGGCAGAGCCGGCATTCCTGTGGGTGGGAAGCCCCCCGGCAGCAGGTGGTTGAAAGCCGCGAGCTGGTTCGCTCCCGCCTGCTTGCGCCACCTCGCTCTTCGGTTGCTGAACCACACCTGGGGTGGGGAAGAGAAAAGAGCACGGGGTGGTCACTGCGAGCATCCTGGAGCTCGTGAGGTCACTTGTGAGGCTCCTGGAGCTCGTGTGGTCACTATGAGCATCTCCGAGCCCATGTGGTCACTGCGAGCTCCTGTGAGCTCGTGTGGTCACTATGAGCATCCTGGAGCTCACGTGGTCACAAGCATTCCAGAACTCATGTGGTCACTGTGAGCTCCTGTGAACTCATGTGGTCCCTTGTGAGGATCCCAGAACTCGTGTGGTCACTGCAAGCATCCTGGTGCTCATATGGTCAGTGCAATCATCCCGGAGCTCATGTGGTCACTGCAAGCTCCCGTGAGCTCATGTGGTCACTGTGAGCATCCCAGAGCTCATGTGGTCACTGTGAGCATCCTGGAGCCCATGTGGTCCCTGTGAGCATCCCAGAGCCCGTGTGATCACTGTGAGCATCCCAGAGCCCGTGTGGTCACTGTGAGCATCCCAGAGCCCGTGTGGTCACTGTGAGCTTTCCAGAGCCCATGTGGTCCCTGTGAGCATCCCAGAGCCCATGTGGTCACTGCAAATTCCCGACCCAGCTCAGCTGGGTAGCTGAGGTGTTAAAAGTCAGAGGAAGAGATGGGAAACACAGAGAGAGGAGGCGAAAAAGAGAATGTCCGAGGGAGAAGAGCGCTGGCCAAAAGAAGGTTCAAGTCACTGCGTGACYTTGGCAGCGTTAATCTCTTCTTCAGTTTCCTCTTGCTATAACTGCTCCCTTATCAGCCAGGCATAGATGAAAATCCATGCCTGAATATTATGAAAAATTCGGATATGATTAAGGATGTGGGAAGGCGCCTATTGGCAGCAGGGTGCGAGGAGGAGGAATAATGTAGCTTGTGTATTCCAAGAGAGTCCATTCCAAGGAGATGTATTGCTACCACCTGGCCATTCCGCCTTGTTATCTGACAACTATGTGAATTATGCTGAAGGATTAAGCACCATCATAGCGCCACGGCTGCCCTGTTAGGAGGGATAAATAGATAGATTAGCATCATGGTTTCTGTGTTAGACAAGCTAAATAGATAGAACCAGACCGGAGGGAATACAGGGGTTTTCTTAGCTTCTCTGCGCCGCAGCAAATCACTGCTGTCTGTATGCTAAGACATGCTCTCCTTGCAAGAGGCAGTGCGGTGTGTGCTAGCGCTGCACTGCAGCCAATTTAAATCTCCGTGCATTAAAACAAACCTAGTATTAATGCATGTGCAAAGCTGGGCTCATGTTTCCTACACTACTGGTTTACCTGGGAGAGTTGAGGAGCGATTTTGCTAAATGCTTTTGTCTGCCCTGATGGGTTTTATCCTGGGCAATCTCCCTTCTGGAGAGTGGGAAGGGGTTCTCAAGCTGTCTCTTGGGCTTGGTTTACTTTATTTAATCAGAGAGGCTCTCAGGACCGATTCCTGTTTGGGGTTGAGAAGTATGCGGATAAGCTTTCAAGCCAGATGAGAATGCAGCTGCTGGACTTTGTGAGGCCTAAAGGGCTAGAAAACATGATTAAATTTCACAGCAACAAGAAAAAAAAGAAATGGAGCAAAAATCAAGAGTGTAAAGCATTCAGGAGAAAAAAAAAATCCTACATGGGCCTTCCAAGCTGCTCAACAACAGATCAGAAGCTGGGGTTACAAGGGTTTGAGGCACTGCAGTCCTGAGAGTCTCCAGGTCTTGTGAACCTAAACAAAACTCTCTTCCCTAAACCCGGTGGGGATGGCTCTGACCCTCATCTCTTTTCAGATATGTCCAAGAGCTCAAGTCTCGCTCCAGCCTTTCCGCCGAGTGCCCTGTGCACGGTCACTTCTTCGTCTCCTCCTTTCTTTGCTCCTCTGCGCCTCGGTCTGCGCCGTTGCCTCAATTCACCCGAGGTGACGAGGCAACCTGTTTGCAACCTGCTTGCACCGAGACCTTGGGGTTCCTTGGCCCGTGGGATCTCAGCAGGTTCAAAGCTGCCCAGATCCRCGATGCGTGACCTCCTGATGATGCCTACAAAGGCGAGGAAGGCTCAGGCCCTGGGCAATCCTTCCCGTCACACTGTTATTCACCTCCTCGCGCAGCAAAAACGAATAAAATGTTGTCCAAACAGGTTCAATGCACCTGAAAGAGTGGGCACCCAGTGCACCCGYTGGGTCTGCGGGACCAGAGCTGGTCTAAAGGAGCCTCCCTGGAACGCACCGAGCGCAGACGTCGCGTCCAACAGCTTCGCTTGCCAGAGCTGCTCCTATTCCATAGGGCTCCTAGCGAGAGCAGCGCGACCTTTTAGCACCCTCCAAAAAGCCTGGCAGAAACAGGTCAGCGTCCATCCGATCYGCGCCGACCAACAGCGTCCGGCAGGTCAGGCTCTGCGTCCGCTGCTGGCACCAAAACTCAAGGACCGCGACGGAAATCTGGGCCAGAGTAAGGAGAGAAATGAATGAAATGGAGGGCTGAACCCTTCAGCAATTTCTTTACGCTGCCCAGCATGGGGTCCAGGCCATGGCATGGTTTGTAGGAGCAGCAAGTGACACAGATGAATAACTAACCTTAACCCCTTGTTTCCCCAGTCACACCGAGGATGGTCCTGTCCTTGCCCCCTGTTTCACTTACACACATAGGGATAATTCCTGTTCTTTAATGAAACGGGCTCCTTTTACCTCATTTGCTTCCACTTCACAAGCTAAGAAGGACATGAAAACCTTCAGACCGGGTCTATTCACCAGATGGGAACGTAAGGAGAGGTACAATCTCCAGGGGAAAAAAAGACCTAGTCGCTGGTTGGAGCAGCCTCCACTGCCAAAAGAAGGCCTCGGAGCTGAGAAGAGCATATAAAATTAAAATAACCCGAGGGGGAAATGCAACCAAGCAGTTATGAGCCCAGGAATCGGGAAGCAAGGAGAATTTGGCCTCTGAGAAAGAAGTAAAAGGCGCTGCAGTGAATTCTGACCCAGCTCTGACGYTAGAGAGGGTGGGAAAGTGCCTTCTTAGAACGAAGAGCCAGATGCGGGCAAATCCACTCCGGATTAGAAGTTTAGAGGAAACATGTGGAGCGAGCTGGCCGAGCGCGGGACAGGTTTCTCCAGCAAGAGCCCCTCGCGGAGCGGGGGTCTCCCCGCGCCCGTTGGGCACGTATGTCTTTGCTTTGTCATTCTAAAGTGCAAACACGGCTAGAAGTCTCTGATCTCCCGCCCTGGCCTTCCCAAACTCTACTTCTCCAGGTTTTCCCTTCTTTTGTCCCCATGCTCATGTGGAGGGTCCTGAGGCTTCTGTGTTTCAAGGAGAAGGAAGGAGAGGCCGGCGGGTTCTGCAGCGCGGCGGAGCCGGCCGCTCCAGCCGTGCGAGTCGCTGCCTCCCGTTCTCCAGGGATGTTCATTTCCAGGGCTGCGGATTCTCCACAAGGCAAGAAAGCCGCTTCCCACTTCTCCTCCAGGTGCACCAGACTGGTTGGAGGGTCCAACCGCGAACACACCGACACCTTCCACAAAGAATTTTACAGGATTTATCGGCCGTTGCAGAGGAAGGGCCACTTCATGGCCCAGACTGGATGATTCTGCCCCTTATTTATAACCCACAGAGAAAAAAAAAAAAAGAAAAAAAAAGACATATTCCAGCTAATGACGTTAGCAGTTCCTTCCCTTTCCCTGCCTTAAAGGTGGCTCAGGCCTTTATGCTTATAAATCATTTTATTGGTAGTTGAAATATAGAGGCTAGAGCATCCAACTGTAATGCGARGCGCACTTCAAAGGGAACCTGCTTTCATTTCCCAACAGTTAAGGTTTTATCAGCCACTAAAGATTCCCCCTGCCAGAGGATCCTGTTACAGCACGTTAAGCCCGGGGTGAAGGCTACAGCTGCTGAGCCCAGCGGGCGCGGGGAAGGGGGTGAGGAAGAGGAAGGTTCTGGAGCGCCGCTCCGCTCTGCCGCAGGCTCCCGGCACGGCATCGCCGGGCTCGGCTCCTGGGAATGACGCTTGGGTGGCCGCTTGGGAGAAGGGTGGCCAAGGAAGCCGCTGGCGGGGCCGGGCACAGCAGGGGGACCCTGCGATGAAGCGCTGTCCTCCAAGGACAAGCAATGGTGCCAACGTTACCCCACACCTCCTCTTCATCCTAAGGGGTTCCTTAAGGCAAGATGATGAAGCCTGCATCATCTTCCTCAGAGGCGGCACAGGGAGGCTCCACAAACCTCCTCAAGCTGCCTGGAAGACCAGGCGGCTCCCAAGGAGCCCACGAGGACACCCGGAGCGGGTCGGGGCTTGGGCACGAGGGTTGGCGCCCGTTCCCACCCAACGCAACCGCCCGCCGTGGCGCGGCCACGACGTGCCGGCYACTTGTTCCCAACCTGCAGAGCAGCCCAGGAGCGGAGCGGTGGAGCCAGCTGCCTGCCGGGCCGGGGCTGGACTGAATTATCCAGATCTGGGTCAGCTCCCACAATTTGTCAGACAAGGAGAGGAAAGGAAGGTCAAAAAGAGCCTCCTGTGGGAAAGAAAGCCTGGTGTGTTCCTGCTCGGCCTAATCAGGACTTGATGTTGGAGGAAGATGGATGGGATAAATGAGCTCATAAACGAAAACAGGGATGGAAGAGCCAAGTCATGCCTCACTCTCCAGCAGAATGGAAGAGACGCAACATGTGTTTGCTTTCACAGGCCCGAGGATCGCAGAAACCAGGTGCAAAAGAACCACACGGACACAAAACCCACTAAAATTGGAGAAGACGCCTGAGCTGCTGCTCTCCTGGAGGAGGGGTCCCCGAAGGGTGCGCAGAAGCAGGGCAGTGCTCTTGCAGACGTTGGGCGTTCGGGCAGGATCGTGCATCTCACAGAGGGCAAGACTGGGGCTCCAGCAGCAGTGGGAGGGCAAGGAGCCGCCGAGATAACTCCTTGCAGAGCGTGGAAACAGCCCACGGCCATGCACAGATTCTACTGTGCACGTAAGGACACGGCCGCATCTACTGACACTTTGCATCGAGGCTGAAAACACTGGGACACGGTTAAGATAAATGG